ATATTTACGGGTAACGGACCGAACCCACCTACCACTACCTAACTACTACTACCTTACACATAGAGTATGAATATATATATATATATATATATATATATATATATGGATGTTAACATATTTCAAGAACATGGGGAGAACAAACTCATAATTCAAATGCACAATTAAAACTAAAGCGAGCATAATATAAGCCTTTCATCCACGTTAAGATGCTGCATCAATACAATTTGTACCATAGTTTTAAAAAACGGACCGCTCAGCGCCTAGGCGGCCGCCTAGGAAATCCAGAAGCTCTGGGCGCATTGCCCAGGCCTAAGAGGCCAAACTAGGCAGATATCTCTGGGCGCCCGCCTGGGCGGCCGTCCAGGCCTTTTAATACTAAAGGGGCAAAGTTGTGGATTTAAGGTTCATTTGAAATTTAAAACCGATTAGAGGCTATTTTATATAGAGAAAACCCAAAAAACAAAAAATTTCTTCAAGGCCGCCAAGGTTCTGGGCGCCCACCTAAGCGCTGGGCGGCCTGGACCTCCCCAACTGTTTAGGTGCCGCCTAACGCTTTTTGAAACACTGCTTTGTACATTGTTTGATAGATAAAAAAATTTCAATATATAAAAAGGATCAAAGAGCACAAAATAACAAAGCAAATAACATGGGTTAAGAGCCTCAACATCTCGAAGACCAGCTGGTCTCCCTATGCCACCACAAAGATACATAGAGACAAATTTTCACTTTTATTTTTCTCTTTTGGGTTATAACAATAAGCTGAAGGGTGGCTACATCGAGCAACAAGTGTAAGGACACAAGTCAGGCCGCAGTAAAGCTGACAATTGAAGTTCATCAATGATTCTTTAAAAATTAAACAGTGCCCAAATCAAAGTTACACAGATGCACATTCAAACTTTGCACAGATAGAGGCAAAGAAAAGCAAACCCCTTAACCTCTTGATTGATGATCAATGAGAGAGAGAGAGAGAGAGAGAGAGGGGCTGGCAACTGATTGAATACCAGCCTCCAATTCCTCTTCTTCCTCCTCTTCCTCCAAGTCATCCCAAGGCTTACTGTTATCAACAAGTTCTTCTTGCAATCAAAGGGAAATGCATAATGAGACAACAATGATATCACCATCATTAAGAAAACCATAGTAGCATGGAAAGTCATTTTCCAACAAAGGAAGATTTAATTGCCCGCGCATGAAGTTTATTATAATAACACAAATGATTTATTCTATTAATTCAACAAACCAAGTGAAAATGGTTAGGGAAAGCTTTCTGTGTGACCCAAACAACATAGAAGTTATATGTGACCCCACTTCTTAGCTGTTTGATTCAAAATTGATGGCTAGGATTGTTCATGCCACAATGTCATGCCAAACGCTGTTTTATTTTTCATTTTTTTATAAAAAATATTTTTGGATGAAATTTTGAGCGTCCCATAATAAACGAGGGCAAACCTAAATAAAATAGAAAGCCATCTACTCAGATCTGATGGCTGAGATCAAGGGTCACATATATTATATATGTGGGTGGGGTTACATAGAAAGGTTTCCCAAATGCATAACTCCATACCTCATAATTAGGTTGTTCTTGTTGTTGGACACCAAAAACGTCACCATATAGTGGGTGTCCGAACTACATAATAAAAATTTCACAGAAGCGGTGACAAAAGAATAAACAATCGCACTGAAGAAGAATCCATACAAAGTATTATAAATACTACGACAGCTTGAATGCAAGAATCATAAGAAGCTTACTTCATCAA